TCCCCCCCACCCCTGCTTACCCTCCCCCCCCCCGACCAAACTTACACCCACATGCTATCCTTGCAGCCTGTGAACGGGACCTTTTGTTGGAGAAACCATCCTTGCAGATGTAATTAAAGTAAGGATCTTGAGATCAGATCATCCTGGATGATCCGAACGGGGTCCCAAACTCAAGGACACTTGAGAGTAACACACGGAGAAGAGGAGAGGGCTGTGTGGGGACAGAGGCTGAGACTGGAGTGATGCAGGTCCCAGACATGAAATGCCTAGAGCCACCAGAAGCTGGAGGAGATAAGAAACTGAACTTCCCTGGGCGCCTGGGTGGCTCAGCTAGTTAAGCATCAGACTTCAGCTCAGGTCATGATCTCACGGTTTGTGAGTTCGAGCCCCACATCGGGCTCACTGCTGTCAGCATGGACCCTGCTTCGGGTTCTCTGTCCTGCTCCCTCTCTGCTCCTCCCTTGCTCATTCTCTCTCTTTCTCTCAAAAATAAATAAACATTAAAAAAAAGAAAAAGAAACGGAATCTCCCAGACACCTTGACCTTGAACTTCTGGCCTCCAGAATTGTGAAAGAATACATTCTTGTAAATAACTTTATAAGAAATAAACAGGTTTGTGGTAATCCATCATACAATGTAATGCAACAAAAAGCATTACTTAGGAACGAACTACTGATAACATAAAATAATTGGATTGATCTCAAATGCCCCTGGCTAAGTGACGGAAGCCACTCGCAAAAGGCTCCAGACTCTGATTCCATCATATGACCTAGAAAAGGCAAAACTTTGGGGACAGACATCAGAGCAATGGCTGTTGGGGACTGAAGGTGTCCAGAGAACTGAGGGGGGAAAGGAAGTACTCCATATCTTGATTGTGGTCATAGATCCACAACTATTTATCAAGCCCATAGAACTATGCACATAAAAAGATTGAATTTCACTGAATGTAAATGGCACCTCAATACATCTAATTTTTTAAAAACTGAAGGAATGCTATGATATTGTTTTCAAATTTGTGGTTTATTTTATTTTTAAATGATTATTTATTTTGAGAGAGAGCACACGCATGCACACATGGGCTAGTGAGTGGTAGAGGAGCAGAGGAAGAGAAAGAATCTCAAGCAGCCTCCATGCTGTCAGCATAGTATCTTACATGGTGCCCCATCTCACGAACCATGACATCATGACCTGAGCAGAAATCAAGAGTCGGATGCTTAACCGACTGAGCCAGCCAGGTGCCCCTCAAAATTGTAATATGTTTTAAGTGTTTACATTGAACAAATCAACACTTTTGTCACATCCAGAATAAAAACACTGATAGTGTACAGCCTTTTGTGGAGGTCACATTGGAGGCCTAAATTTGTGGCAATGAGACTGAAGGATAATGGCCCTGTGACCCCTGCTCTGTCATAGGACCTTGCCAGAGGGCTGCTAGGGGCCTGTGGGTCACGGCCACGGACTCCTGTTGGATGCTATCTTCCTTGGAAACACCAGGCTCCAGGTCAAACATCAGGGGCCTCATCTGGAAGATACCCCAACAACTAGGATGTGAGGCAGAAGCACTTGGCCTTGGGTGCCCTGCCCTCCCAGAGTTTTAGAGACCTACTGGCTTGTCTTAGACTCAGGTTAGAACCTTAGACTTAGGTTCTTCAGGCTCAGATTTCTTCTCAGTAGGTCCTTTCTGCCTCAGTTTTTCCCCGGACTCTAGACCTGGCTTGTGTGTGGTTTTTGCTTATGTGTGATATTGTGATTTATAATAAGAAATATATATTTGGTCTTTGTCCTCATTTCCATGAAGCTTGAATCTAACTGGACATCTGTGGTTTTTGTTTTTTTTTAAGTTTATTTATCTATTTATTTAGAGAGAGAACCAGCAGGGGTGGGGTGAGGGGGTACAGAAGAGCCAAAGCCAGCTCTGTGCTGACATCAACCAAGCCCTGAGTGGGGCTTGAGCTCACACACCGTGAGATCATGACCTGAGCCAAAGTCAAGCTTGACAGACTGAGACACCCAGGTGCCCTCTTCTCATTTCGTTGCTGAGTTCCTAAAACCCTTGGAATTTCCTTTGATACGAGAAGTAAATGTTTCCTTTGTTCTGTTAATGAGATGACTTTTTGAAAGCACTTAAGGCTGGGGGCTGGTTGCTGGTGGAGCCAGCTGCCTGATTGTGAACCATCAGGTGTGAGCCAAGCCCATCCCCACTGCCAATCCCCCTGTCTGGACTTCCAAGGAGGGAAGAGGGCCTGGACCTGGGGGTTCAGTTCAATCACCAATGGCCCATGATTTAATCAGTCACACCTGTGTAATAAAGACTCCATAAAAACCCCAAAGGAGCGGATCAGGGATTCAGAGAGTTCCCAGATTGGAGAATCCAAGGAGATCTGGGGAGGGTGGTACCCTCAGAGACTGGGGGGTGGGGGTGGGGGGGCAGAAAGAGAGAGAGGGTGGAGGAGGCAGATACGGTAGCAAGCCTTTTCCCCATACCTTACCCTCTGTATCCATTTGGCTGTTCCTGAGTTAGATCCTTGTATATAATAAGCTGGTGACCTAGTAATCAAATGGTTCTCTGAGTTCCATGGGCTGCTGTAGCAAATTAATCCAACCCAAATTGGGGTTCGTCGGAACCCTCAATCTATAGCTGGTCGGTGGGTCAAAAGCGATGAGGGATAGAAGTGGAGAAATGTTCACCTTCAGCCCAGAAGGCTGACCTATAAACCTGCACAGTTCTGATTAGCGTCAAATATGTGCTGCTTGCTATGTTCTAGAAGGGCCTCATGACTGCCTGTTTATCTCACCAATAGCTTATATCGAACTGAATGATAAGCAGCAGAGAAATCTAGAGAAAATAGTTTTATGAGTAGAAATTTGAAGAAAACATTTATGATCTAATACCCACTTCATGTCCTCTCCCCTTTGAGCACTAAGCTCTAACCCCCAGCTCCATACAGCAAAAGTGCTGCCCTTTCTGCTCAAGAGTGTTGTCCCCTGCTCCGTAAATAAACTAAGTTGCATCGTATAACGTCTCAAGAATTCTTTCTTTCTTGCTATTGTGCTTGATGACCCCGCAACAGAAGCACAGGTGATAACCTGGATTTGCAATTGACTTCCGAAGTGGGGAGGGGGTAAGGGGTAGGGGTGCAGACTGGTAGGGCTGAGCCCTTAACATGTGGAACCTGATGTTACTTCCAGGTGAGAATTGAATTAAAGTGTAGGATATGCAGCTGATGACCCAGAATTACTTGGTGGGGTTGGATGGGGGAGCCGCCACAGTAGAATTGGGGCAGAATCTTATTATGACCAAGTCCACTTCCTCTGGGTCTCTGGATGGTGACCTCCACCTATCTGCCCAGCAGCCGTGACCTGCAACATGACCTCTCACAGATACTTGCAGGGTATCTTCATCTTCATCTTCCTCTCTCTCGTTTTTGGTCTCCCTCTGTATTTTGCCAGCCTTAAATCCACCGTCTTTTCAGAAAGCCATAAATGGTGCGCTCTCTCGCCGCCAGTCACTCACTGGGACTTTTCAGGCACTGAGCAAAGCCTCAAATTTGAGGAACAGGGATCCAAACCTGCCCGTGGGTTCCTGGGAGTGATAGTGAAAGGGAAAACGTTTCACGTCCATCCTTTGGTTCCTGGACCCGCGTATTCCTTCTTGGGAATGGAGTGGCATATTTTGGTTGGTGACCCAGTGCACATATGACATTCTGAAGGACAGAACTCCAACCACACAGGGTGCTTCTCTGAGCTGACATCTTAGCTGAGCCATTAATAGTTCCTTCTCTTATTCTATGAGGGAGCTGCTCCCAGGGGACACAGGAGGGTAGAGCCAGGGCTCTCGTGGCTCTGTCCCCACTGCCGCACCTCTCTGCCACAAACTGGTTCCTTAAATGGAAGCATTGGCATGCTGGGTGGTGGTGTTGGCAGCGGTACTGTGGGTGGGGAAAGCAAACCTCTATCTGGCAGAGGCATCAATTCAGAAAGGACACACTGCTACCCTCTCCAGGACAAAGGGATCTGAGGAAGTTCATGTTGTCACCAAGGTCCCCTAACATCACTGCTTCGTCTGTATTTTAGAACCCCTTTTGGTACCAATTGCCTAAGCCTGGGTTCCCTCAAAGACCAGAGCCGGAGATAATAGCTTGCAGGCAGATAGCTTATTTTGTGAAACAATCCCCCCAAGAAACAGTAGTGGGAGACAGGGAATGGTGTGCACAGTAAGGGGGAAAGGCATGTCAACGTGTGCTGTAAAGCTGATCACTGCTGTGGGCAAGTGGGGCTGTGGGCCGCTGCATAGCACCCCGAAAGCCAAGTAAAACACGACTGGAAATGTTTCCCTTGCTGAGGTGTGGAAAGAGAACAACATCGATCCCTCCTCTGTTGGTCAAGAGGTCACGGGATTCACTTGTAACAATTCCCATCAAGACTCATTGGTTCATCATTCTAGCTAACCCTTTGGAGCACCTTAGATATGATGAGTGGTTTTTACAAAGGTGACCACCTTGGTCCTCTGTAATTCCCATAGAGAAAGGGGCTCCGGGGAAGCCCCAGGGCGGAGGTGTAGCTGAGGTCAGGTGGGGGCTCCTGTCCCAGTTGGTTGTTACAGCAACAGCCAAAGTAAAGGAGGGTTGGGAGTGGGGTTGGGGGAGGGGTGAGGCAGAGGGAGAGGGACCGTGGTGCCAAATGGATACAAAATATTACGCTGTTAACCTAGTTAATTGTCTAATGTAATAGTCATATACTTTTTATTCTGTTATATCTTATTTAATATAATAAAACGTAATGTGTAAAATATACATAATACAATAAAGTATCATATTTTATTATATTTGGAAATAACTTATTGTTAGATTTTCTCACTTGGCTAGGATTTGGGGGTATGCCTGATGATTGCCAAGAAACTGACCACTTGCCAACTAAATGTATTAAATATACGTGAAGCTAAATAATTCAAAAGGCAAAATTATAAGAATCTTAAAAAAATTTTTTTTGTACTACGGAACCATGTTTATTTAATGTGGGATGTGGGTGTTTGATATGAATGTGGGGAATGGCCTCCAAGAAAAATGAGTACCAACTGCCTCAGACGTCTTACAATTGTCCCTGGTGGGAAGGAGGAGATTAGAAAATACGCTATTGATTCTGCTCTGAGCACACAGCTGTCCTGCCGACTTGTGTCCTGAACATTTCTTCCCTCTGTCCATTCCATGCCATCCTTTTCCAAGGTCGTTGCTCTTGCCCAAACCTCCACCGTCTCTTGTATGGAGTTTTCCAGTAGCCTCTAAATGAGCCCCCCCGCCCCCATCCACTCTGGTTTTCCACACAACAGCCAGTGGGCCCTCTCTAAAAGAAATGCATCGCATCTCTTTCTCTTACACCCATTACCCATTACTGGACTGTCAATGCCCTGGTGTGAAAGACGCAGTTCCTAACAAATCCTACAGATACCTAGAGTGGTGGCCCTATTGTCTCTCGGGCCTCATCTCTCCGTCTTCGCCCCACCTCTGCACCACCCACACTACCCTGGTCAACCGCCCCTCCCCACCTCTGCCCGGTCTCTTCCTTCTGTCTGCACACTTTTCCCCTCAGCCCACTTCACCTCCAACTCCCACCCACTCTGCTGACTTTGGCCCCAATGTCACTTCGGGGAGCTGTCCACGGTCTCTCCCTCCCATTGCCAGCCTCACCTTCACCAGCGCTCTCGTTACATGCTCCTGGCTCCCTGACCTTCCAGTTGTGAGGGTGATGATTTGGTCCTTCTTTTTTCAAACCCCAACACCTGAAAGAGCGTCAGGCACTTGGTACGGGGTCAGCAGTGCCCCTGAAATGATGGAGAAGGGAACGAGTGAAGGAAAGAATGCTGTATGTATTCCTCTCCCCCTGACTGTCCAGCTCAGACTCGAGCACAGGGCTTAGAGGGAAAGCACGTACCAGCTGAGCTGCTAATCCCACGCTTGGGCCATGCCCCCCGCCCCCCGCCCCCGGGTGCCCTGCAGACACTGTGGCCGGGAGACGGGCTAGTTCAGACCACAGGCTTTCTCTGTCCCTCCAGCCCTCAGGAAGGATCCAGTGTCCTCACCTGCACTCTGTCGCCCAGGTGCCTGCTTGGGTCTGTGAATCTGCAGCACGTGGGACCTGATAGCCCTCATCTACTGTTTGGTCGGTGGTATAGACACAGTCTCTGAAGAAAGCTTTCCCAGAACTGCAGAGATAGGAAATGTTATCAAAATCACCCAGAAAAGCTGTTTCTGGAATTGCTGGTCACGGTAAAAAATTTGAGGTGGATGAAATCTAAGGTATGGGTGGTGAGGGTATTTCTTTTCATCATGATTATTTATCCTTTCCCCCTAAAAATAAAAACGTTGGCACCCACTATGAACTTCTAGCCTGGGAGTGTATGAAAGAGCTATAAAGCATTTTCCCAGAAATCAAGTCACTCGCAGTGTGAGGATATCAAATGCACATTGATGACACCAGTGCGCCGTGTATTCATTTGACAAATAGTGAACCCCTATTACGTGTCAGGGCGCGCTTGGCACCAGGGGTCGCCGGCGGGTACTGTCCACCCCTTTCCCTGTGGCTGGACTTTCCCAGCGGTATCTGCGGAGGTCACAGTTAAGTGCATGTGCTTTGTAGCGATTTCCTGGGTCGGATTCCTGGTGTTCTCTCTCTCTCTCTCTCTCTCTCTCTCTCTCTCTCTCTCTCTGGCTATGTCAACTTGGGCCAGTTACTTTAACCTCTCTATGCTTTTTCTGTGAAGCTGGGACTACGGATATTACCTACCCGTAAGACTGTTACCAGGACTGCGCCAACACTTGAGAAGTGCTCAGAGTGGTGCCTACTGGAAGGTACCACCTTCTATCAATGTTGGTTATCATTCCTGCCAATCGAGCCATCTCCCTGTCTCCCACGGTGCCGATCGTTTGCAATCCCTGCCCCTTCTTCTCAAGACAAGATTTTCACGGGAGATCTTCCCTCCCCTTTCTGCTCCTCCTTGAGGTCAGCATGGGGCTGCACTGAGGAACCGGGGGCGGAGCACATGACCCAGGTTTCAGCCAATCAAAAACCCCTGCATTTCCTGGCCCGCCAAGATTGGCTGGTACTGTGATGTAAGCTCTTCCGGGGGAAGTGATCCTCAGGACCTTGGCTCTCTCGTGGGAGGCTGGGCGAGGCCTGCGGCCACTTCTGCTGCCTCTTTCTGGAGAATGGGAGTCTGAGCTTTCCTGAGGAAGGCGGAGTTCTGGGCTCACCATGGAAGCCCCATGTCCATTGGTGAGAAGCCCAACTTAGTTCCCATCTTTCCATTACCAAGTCAAGAAATTCTCTTTTGGCTTCAACCCAGAAATTTTCTGTCCCTCGGAACAGAAGTCCTAATAGGCCATCGCACATCCATATAACACCTATTTCTTGAGTACTTGCTACCTGCTGGGACCTGCGCTAGGTGCGGGGGGGTGAGGGCTGGTGGGTAGTATGTTACAGATGATGTCACTGTTCTCAAGAGCCTTGAGTTCTAGGGTGAGACAGTAAGACCCAGGGGCTGGCTATCCCCAGCCCCCCACCCGCCCAAGGGCTACCTGCTCTCAGGACCTTTGGGAAAGAAAGCCTTTGTCATATATTTGCAGTCAGCTCAGCTGCAGGCCATGGGGCTGTTCATCTTCTGAAACCCCAGACCCACCTTGCCTTTGACCACTGCTGCCCCTTTCTCAACTGCTCAAGAGAGGCAGGGATGTGGGGGTCTCCACTCCTCCATGACAATGCCCCAGGGGGCTGCACAAAGCCATCAGACCCTTCAGAGAGACCAGGTAATTAGGCCCCATGTATCTAAGTGGAAAGGAATTGATATTGAGGCATGAAGGAAGCATATACGTAGCTTCCTGGGGACCCACACTGGCACGCTCTAAGTCTGCATTTTCCTTTCCTATCAGCTGATATGTCCTCTTCTGGAGGTCTCCAAAAAAGGAAGGAAGAGCCAGCCTTTACCCACAAAGACTGGCTTGGTCCCACCCCCCTCTACCCCTACTCCCCCACCCCACCTTCCACCCCCCACCCCACAAGACGCAGAGTTCTTTCAGGTACTACATGGCAGCTGTGTCTTCTCACATAATTCAGATCTTTTTAGAGCCTGCGCTCCACAGCCAGACTCCCAGGGTTTCTTGCCTAGCTGTGCCATGTACCAGCTGGATGACCTTGGGTAATTTACTTAACCTCTGAATCTCAGTTTCTTCATCCGTAAAATGGGGATAAAAATAGCACTTCTTAGGGTCTTTGTGACGATTGTTGGAGGTTATGTATGTGCCGTGTGTTCTGCACAAATAGCATCTCTCAAAGATGATCACCCTAATAAATCTCTCTCCCCCCATGAATTCATTCTTTACTGCATTCCCTGTTTAATTTTCTGTGTAGTACTTACCACTCCTGCATTTGTGACTTTGTGTGTTGCCTTTCTCTCCCACTAGAAGGTGAGATCCTGGAGAGGGGAAACTGTCTCACTCACCCCTGTATTCCCAGGGCCTGTTATGGCCCCATCAATATTTACTGGATGAATCTGTAGAATGGATGAGCCATATGGGGGCTGCCCAGGAGGTCACTGGGTGGGGCGGGGTGTTGGGGGGAGGGGCTTTGGCAATCCCTGGCAGTGAGAAGTTGTCCAAGAGCCCACTCTTAAGCACGCACACACAAAACACACCTGTTCTCAAGGAAAAACATCTAGTTCTCAGAGACTCTACATCTATTGTTGAGGAAGAAGAATCTTTCCTGGACTACAGAGTAGTGTGCCTACCTGCCCCTGGACCACAGTGGGCTTTTTGTGATTCTGTGAGGCAGCGGCAGCTCTGATCAGTCTGAAGAATCAGTCACCAGTCGTTGGGTCTATCTGTATAAAAATCACGGCCCATTTCAGGACCATCAACTTCTTAGTGGCTGTTCCTGAGCCACTTGAGTCTTGGGAAGAATCTTTGAAATGAAGAATGCATGTGAGTGTATGTGTCTGTGCCTTTTCTTTCTGGGGAAATGCTATTTATTGGACCAGACTTCCTTCTGATGATATGCAGTGGGAATAGTGTGAAGAAATCTATATTTCTCTGCAAGCATCCCTCCATGACAGATCGGATTCTTAAAAAAAAAAAGTATAGTAAATTCTCTCTATCTCTTGTCTCTCTCTTTTTTGCAGGGCAGCAGGAAAGATGGACTTCCTGGCATATTCTCATAAGCAGCAGCTGCACCTGCCGGACTTCTGAATCTCTACATTCCTGGGCCTGACTGTCTTTAGGAGACACAGTCAGACCCATTTTCTTTTTTCCAAACTCACAGACTATGAAGGAGTAGCCATAAAACCCAGCAGAAACGGCACATCCATCATATGAGGGTATAACATCATTTATTGATTGGAAATTTCATTGAGCTCTAATTTATAATCTAAGCTTTTAAAACGTTTAATCCAAAAACAGTTCAGACTCATTCTTTTGAAAATGGAATAGTACTGCCAAGTCTTTTTTGATGGATCTTGTTTCCATGGTTTTCTGCAAATGTTTTAAGTTTCACATGAGCCGTAGTTAAAATTTAAGTGCACTCGGGTAAAGATAGTGTTAAGTTTTGCCCAGTAGATGGCAGCAAGTTCGAATTTGGCCTGGGAACTAGATTTTCCTGTTCCAGGCAGTGGATGGTGCTACGAGCAGGTGCACGGTAAAGGCTCCCAGGCAAATGGCCTGGGTAAAAGCGGGGTCCACAGGTGATCTCCAGTCCTCATCTTGATAAGCCTCTTTCTAAAGTCCATTCATATCTCTATGTTTTGTGGCACTCATCAAGCCATATAAATCAACTGGCTACATCATTCCAGGGGAGTGGTCGTGGCAGATGGGATCTCTGTCATGCTTAAGGTATGTTTTAGCATGATTACTGAGCTTAATCATTCCAAAACAGATGGTCTCTAAGTGATTTTCTAAGTTTATTTACTTATTTTGAGAGGGAGAGAGAGCACGCATGCGCACAAGTGAGCAGGGAAGGGGTAGAGAAAGAGGGAGACAGAGGATCCCAAGCAGGCTTCGCACTGTCAGCACAGAATTGGACGCAGGCCTCAGATTCAGGAACCGTGAGATCATGACCTAAGCCGAGATCAAGAGTCAGTCACTTATCTGTTGACCCCTCCCCCCCCCCCCCCCCCCCCCCCCCCCCCCCCCCCCCCCCCCGGCCCCATCCACCAGGCCCCTCTAAGTGATTTTTAAAAGCAGGTGTATTGAGACGCAAAGCAAAGGTGTCACAGGTGGTATGCAAGGCATTCTTATTTCAGCTCACCGGACAGGTCTAAAGGAGTACAGTCACCAAGAATGAACAGCAGTTTCCATGCCTCACTGAAGTGAGTTCTGCACCAATTAGGAGAAGAGTTTAATTTCTGGAAGGTTTGATCATATCTTAGAAATGAACAAACAAATTTTCATGACATCCTGGGCTCTGAGTTGATTGATGAACCATAGGCATAGACGGGCCTGGAAAATGTTGGATGGCGTAGTAAGAATTGGTCCTGTTCGACATCTATCTTTGGGGCTTGTTTATGTGGTGGGTGACTCAGAAATGAGGCTGCCTTCCAGTGGCTCCGCAGCCTGTCTAGTTGTGTTTCCTTGGGTCTAGCAGCGGAGCAGGAGGCTTGCAAAGCAGAGAAGGTATTTCTCACAGGGAGCCGGGACACTGGTCGGTGAGCCAGCCAGGCTCATGCTCCCATTTTGCGCAATGCTACTGGACCAGCCTACGCCCAGCTGATTGGTCCAGCATGGACATCCAGTGGGGTGTTTGTCCATTCACTTGGGGCTCAGCTAGGAGTAGCAGATGTTTGAAGCCTAACAACCAGAAAATGGGTTAATGGGGACGTGCAGAGGTGCAGGCAACAAGCATCAGGTGGAGAGGATCGGAGTCCTTGTGTCTAGAACAGTTTAAAGGAGATGGGACCTTGGACTGGAGCAAGTTCAAACTATCCCAACTTTTCCTTTGACGGGAATCACCCAGGATAAGGGGCTCGACTTGTGCTTATTAAAGAAACTCTGATTCAGTGGGCCTGGGGTGTGAGTCTCTTTATTTCTAACAAGCTCTCAGAGAACACTGATGGGCTAGTCCTTGGGTGGCACTTTGAGTAACAAGGCCTCAAAGTCTCTTTCCATGGGAAATTCTACAATGGGTTCATGTCCCCAGAACAACTCTGGTTTGTAGGTAGTAGAGACAAGAATTCAATCACCACCATTTCTGTAGGTCTGTCCTATGGCAGCCTTGTGTTTGACTCTATCTCATTTCATTCTCTCAACACCCCACCTTGGGATCATCTTACAATTCCCACTGTACAGAAAATGAAAGTGAAGATTAGAGAGGTTAAGTAACTTACCCAAGGTTGAAGAGGTAATGGCTGAAGGATTTGGGACTCAAACCAACATCAGACTGGTCCAGCACTCATTGATTAATTAAACTAATTCACTAATCCAAAAAGAATTAAATATAACTATTGAACTTAGCACTCTACAAGGCTTTGGTACACAATATGAGTAAAACAGATGAGGCACTGGTGCTCAGGGGGCTTATAGTTTAGCAGGAGGGGTGATGTTGAAATGGGAAATGACACCAAGAGTGAAAGCAGATCCCCAAACTACCACCTCTCACTGCGTCCATTGCTGCCACCCTGGTCCATGCCTCCCTGAATGGTCTTGGCCCCTCACTGGGGACACTCTTCCCCAGATCTTTACATGGATGGCTCCTTCCTGTTACTCAGTTCCAGCTCCAACATCACTTGCTCCATTAGGCGGTATGTTGAATGGCGGGTAGATGTATGGACTGTAGCCCCAAGACCTGGGCCTGTGTTTCAGCTCCTCCACTCCCCAGCTCTGTGATGTAGGGAGAGTTACTTTGCTTCTCTGAGCAGAGATCTCCTCGTATGTAAAAGGTCAGTGATAGTACCTCCCCCATCGGGATGCCATGAAGATTAAATGAGCAAATACATGTGAAGTCCTTACAATAGGGTCTGTCACAGGCCAAGCAGCATGCAAGCTTCTGCCT